ATTGAAATAGTTTATCATAAAATCAATGTGAGACCCACTAATTCCTCGACGTTGACTCTGCCCGTGCAATCTTTAATGCTAATTGTCCAACCAATCCCGAAGTTTCAGTGATCCAATCATCTGGAATACCCTCCCTCTCCAAGGCCTCCAAAAGCGGGACTGCCTCGTCACGTATCAGGTCATAATACAGTTTTAGTCTACTCGCGTCTACTTCTTGACCTAATACAGCCCGGGCATTGCTGTATATTGTCGAAAGACGTTGCACAGCATTGAGGACGTTCGGAGACCATGGAATAGCATGATTTGGTGCCGGAAGTGGGACGAATGGAGGGACAAGATTTGAACCGCTCGAAGGCATTGGAACGCCAAAGGAGGTACCAGGCGAAGCTGTACGGTAAAGGGCACGTGCTGTGACTACCTCTTTTGGAGGCACAAGTCGGAGTTTGATGTCGCGAGAACAACGCCTCACTATCATGTCCAGCTTGGACCTCATACTCGCAGCAGAAGCCATGTCACGGGAGGAGTGTGAAGCACGTATTTCCTCTGGTCAACCTTTTCAGCAACATGAACTTGAAGCGTTGGCGGCCTTGACACGTTCCCGAAAAGACGAGAAGTACTGGTTTCTTGATGGCAAAGTGATCGAGGTCAGTAGTATAGCTCAAATGACACGTCAATTCGGACTCACGCATCGTTACGGTGGTCAGATCGAGGGACGGACTATCAAAGTCCACCTGTCACTAACCTTTGACGAGATCCCAGCTCTCAAGCACTGGGTCATTGCGAGCGAGCACCGGCAACCTCGTGATCATCAATCCCCAGCTTAATTTTAAGCTATTTATGGAACTTCAGAAGGGATATTATCTGAAGTATATTTAGTATTAGCGTGAGCCCGAACGGCTAGTAAAAGGTTCAGGACTAGCGCGGAAGGATAAGACGATACTAAGTCATCCTACTGCACCCGAAACCTGTGACGAGGAAGACCTCACGTACCTTCTCCGATGGGGCCATTTCTGGGCTGTTGAGCATGCCGTCAAATTCGCGAAAGACGAGCTTGTCACCATGGTCCGCTCCAAGCCGCCCAGCGTGAAGTTAGGACTCGCGAGACAATTCCTGATAAGTGAATTTGTCGAGCCCGGGTTGGAGCCATACATCGACATTGGTGCTACCCCTCAGTTGAAAGATATCACGCAGGATGATATTTATCGCATGGGATATCGCACCTATGAGATCATAGCTCGTACCCGCGAGACCAATCTTCGAAGGCGCATAGAGTTGGCCATGATTGCACCCTCGATGGGGATCCCGGAGGATGGCCTTCTCGCCAAAAACTGTACACCCGCCCAACATGACATCTGCCGACAAGCCTGGAAGGAGGGTTGGCGGAACGACGTTGCCGCCC